AGTGCAGGGCATGGTAAAAAAGGAGATTTGACCGTTGTCCCATCGCTCCTGTTCTTTGTACCACTCGGGTCATGGTCGGGCGTGGCAGGTGCATTCAGGCGCATTAAATGGATAGGACAGACTGCCAGGGGATGGTTGAGGCGGCGGCGAGGATCATGAGGCGAGAGCTGCCGGCCTCGGCGAAGCGGAGAAAAAGAATCAGACGTCGTCGAGAGCCCTACCGGGGGTCTCTTGACGAGGCGGAGAACGAGCAATTGGGCTCTCCTGCTGTTCTTTGAGACCTCAGGACTGGACTTGACCTTCCACGCCGCTTCATCCTTGGCGCGGGGTTAGGTAGCACAAAGGCGATCTGGTGTCGATGGGGAGCACAGTGATGAAACACAATGGCGGTAACCCCATGCGCCCGGTCCCCTATCCGTCGGTCGCTCTGCCGCCTTGTACTGCACTCGCGTCTGGTGGCGTTCTTGAGGAGTAGTTGGGCGCATTAATCTGGACGTGACGTTTTGTCAGAGGAGTTCGGTCGGAACGAAGGTAACGAGGTTGTTTGCCGAGCCCAGCCTCGAGCGAATTAGAGAATTGGCATCCCGTCCGAGGCCTTTCGGGGCGGGGCCTCGGCGAGAGGGCCTCGGTGGAGTGGGGAGCTTTTGGCCTTTCGCATGAGGCTTCGGCGCAAGGCCTCGGGCGAATCGGAGAATCTGCTGAGACCTTGCGGTAGTCTTTCGGCTTTGATTTTTGCAAGGTTTAAGCAATATTTTTGGTTCTTGCTTAGGTTACCCCTTCTTGCGGTATCCGACAACCCTAAACTAGGCTAAAAGTGAATAAAGTGCACAGTGGACACGGGCTGCCCTCAATAATTGCTCCGACCCCGCCTCACTCCCCACGCTCCCCATTCTCTCGCTCGCATCTGCCCTCCCCGCCGCCGCGCTTCCTGCGCCGCTGACACCCCCACCGCCCCTGCGACCATGGAGGAAGGGAAGAGGACGGGAAGAAGGGAGGCGGGCGCTACCCCTGCGATGGCGAGCTCCGACGAGGGCACATCTCCGGCGTCGGCTCAGCGGGCGCGCGGTGCCACCGCCTCAGCACGGCTTGCCGAGTCCACCCCGCTTACCGTCCTGCCTCGCCATGGCGCGTCGCGCCATGAGCGCCTTCGCCTGCCACAACTCATGGGCCGCCTCTCCTCTCCTCCATCTCGGTGGCCGAGCGCCCCGGAGTGGCGTACCTCCAAGTGACGGCCATCCGCGGCGGATCCGATCTGCAGCTCCGCCCTCCCCTACCACCAGCAGCGTGACGGCGTCCTCCTCGTCCGTTCCCACGACCTGCCCATGGCGAGAGCTCTCATGGACAGCAGCAGCAGGATGCGAGGAAGGAGACTTAGAGGGGGCAAATCAGTCATTGTAGATTAGAGGACTAAAGTTTAGCTTATGGATCCAAACAGCCCAGCAGGACTAAAAGCGATCCAAACAACACCTATATTACTACGTCTACTCAGTGTTATAAATACTATATATTGATACTAATTTATGACACCTCTTTTTTATAACTTGGCTAACATTAAGACAGTTTAATCTAGTACAAAATTAAGAGGTGTATGACACATTGATACTCCTATATTAATAGAAAGTGTTTCTTTTTACTTGAACGGATGTAGTAGTCGTTTATAGACACGTCGTATATTAGAGGAATGTATGACAGACTTGTACATTTATTATATTATTAATAATATATAGTATTGCCGAGGCTTTGTATTAGAGTACATTGATATATGTCTAAAAAAGAGTACATTGATATATTGCTTCGGTGTCTCGCAAACGTACGGGGCTGAAATCATTCTGATCAAAACAAATGCATATATTCGGTTGGAGTACGTAATAACTCATCTAGAGGCTGCAATAATTTTTTCTAAAAAACAAATGCATGTGAGAAAAGTGAGCTTCCTCGGGAAATAAAAGGGGATAGCGAAGTGAGTCACAAAAAGATCCCTCTTTGCCTTTTTTTTTGAGAGAGAGATGATGTTAGGCAGGAGTTTTTTTTTTTTTTGAGAAATATGTTAGGCAGGAAGCTGAGTTTAAGAATTTTGGTGGAGCAGTTCAATTTTAGGTGGGCTGGGCTACCTTTCCAGTCTGTCCTTCTTTTCCTTATCCGTTTCTTTACACCTAAATAATGGGCCGCCCCTAAGGGCCCATGTAAATAGCATTGTGCTTATTTTAGTTACTCTTTGCTGCGCTGCCCATGATTTCCCAAGCAAACATTCCCACATGTTCCAGGGTTCCATGAAACTTTGTCACAAACAAGCCTCTCACACGGACTTTCTGGAGTTTGCTCCAACGGTTCGAGTGTTACGTGACATGGTCCAAATGTTTTTCATCATTTGTTGGATCAGACTCACTGTCTGGCCAACAGCTTCTCTCGGGTATATACGCGTAAAGAATATTCAGATACCAAAATAAAACGCTGCCTAGTTCCACTATAGCAAGAAGTTCTGTTTACCTCCCCCAAACTATTGTCTTGGTCTAATAAGTTTTCTCCTTCAACCAAGTCATCCTTTAACTATGGAAACCGGAGATTTTACCTCTTCGGTCCAAGCAAACCAGGGTGTAGCTGACACGGCAGCAGTTTTGATCGGGCACAAAATGACATGGCAAATCAGGCACAGCCATTTTTTCTAGCGTGGCCAGTGCCCGGAAGTCCGGACGTACGCACGTGTAGCCCACCCCAGTCCGCCATCGCCCCACCCTCGTCCGGCTTCGCGCGCCCCCCATGCGGGCACTCCGCCCCGCCCGCTGGTCATTCCCAAACCCGCTCCTCTCTCTCTCTCCGCACTGGCAGCACTCGAGAGCTGGGACCCGGCGTGCCCCCGACCGGAGCACCCATCCACCTACCCCATCGCCCCTATCTACAACCCCCAAGCGCGCGCCACAAAGACCGTCCCCCCCCCCCTCGGCATGCCCCTCCCCCCTGTAAAACACTTGCAACATGAAAAAGAATAAATGCAACATATGTCTGAAAAACAGATGAGACACATGGAACATGCACTTGCAACATGTGTGGAACACAATAAACATCCAAAAAATAACACTTGCAACTTGCAACATGAAACCACTTGCTATAACATAAGACTAAAACAGCTGAAACATTTTGGAACATACTGTTTGCAACATGTGTGTGAAACATATACAACATCCAAATAAAAAACGATTGCAATATACGTGTGGAAACAAATAAAACATTTTAAACAAATTCTTGCAACATACATCTGAAACACTTGCAATATATGCAACATGTTTTGAACAAACGCTTGCAACATGCATCTAAAACACTTGCAACATATGCAACATCCCTCGATCTACTTTTGCAACATTAACATAGAACAAATGCAACATACATCTAAAACGTCTGAAATAATTGAAACATACATATGCACCGGTCGATTCCAGTGCGCGAGCACCACCGCCACCAACAACGTGCTTGGCTCCGCCGGGCGGGCGCACTAGCCCCAGCGGCGCACGCGCGCACCACTGCCACCAGGACCGGTCTTGGCTTGGCCAGGCGAGTGGCGCGCGGGACGGGCGGAGCGAGCACCACTAGCACCACCAGCCCTTGCGACGGGGGAAGCGGCGGCGTCGGATGACTACGCCATGCGCGACAATGAGCCGAGCGCCTCCACGTTCATTCGGCGGGGCCGGACGGAGTGGCACCCACAAGGCCCTATGGTGGAGAGGAGGAAGCGGAATGGGTAAAAGTTTTTTTTTTTTCTAGAACGGTTGAGGCGAGGCCGATTGGATGAGCGGTAGTTGGGCTATGTCACGGCCCATCATTGGCACCGTCCGGACGGACAGATGCCCTATATCTAGCCTTACCTTTTTTTCTATACCTAATAATAAAGAGGTAAAATTTCTGCCACTTTATATTTTCGTCCAACCTATAATCATAAAGTGACTCGGTCTCGGCTATCGGCTCCGAAAAAAAAAAAAATCTTCCGACCGTTTTTTATCATGAAAAAGACGTTTCGTTGGCCTTTTCTGATTCTTTTTCCTTTTCTTCTGTTTTCACTTCCCCGCGTGAGGTATGTATGTAACTTTTTCTTTCTCCTTTTTTTCTTCCATTTTTTCTTACAAATAAAAATAATAAATAGCAAATATAGTACTATAAATCTTTGAACTCCTTATCCTTCTATAATCTAACAAATAATCCATGACTTCCATAATTTGTCATCCAATAATTTATATCTATATGCTCATATAACTTAGAACAACTTAAGTATAATATTATTATGGAGTCCAATTGTAAGATGTAGGGTTCCGCCTAGCCATGTACTGACACACGCAATCTATATAGATGTGGTGAACAATAGTTACAAGTCAATTGGTGTACATGTTTTCCAAACAAACTCGACATCAATAGTTACAAATCAACTGGTGTGCATGTTCATGTGACTAGAATCCATTTAGAACACTTAGCATGTTTTAAACTTTTCGATCCGATCAAAAGTAAATTAATCTATATTTATATGTATATATCTATAAAGCATAGAGCATTATATTGGTATGTCACTCTCTCCCAAGTCTATATAAGTTAGAGCAACGTATCTAGCTGACTAGCTTGCCATGACGCGATGCAGAGTTGGATCCCAAAACAAATATGTACAAACATCTAATCCTCTTGTGCTCGTGCAAATTACCGTACGCCGAGGCACGGTAGGGAGTCTAAATCCAAGATGAATTGAAACACATGATACGATTATTAATAAAATCTAAGCTACAAGTTAGCGAAGTGACGACGTAACATGTATATCCGGTTGCAACGTGCAGGCGTTTGCTATAAAAAAAAAGCAGAACAGACAGTTTTGTAGGGACGGGCCGATTCGAATGGGCCGGATAATTTGTCTGATCCAATAGGCCGAAATGGAAGCCTGCATATGTCAATAACGGGCCCGCCTGTCATCCATTATCCATGGAATCGTCCAGGAAAGGAAAGGACCGGAGCGAGAGTGCGAGAGCGAGATGGTGGTGGTGGCCGCCGCGGCCGCACGCTGCCTCGCTGTAAAGCCTTTGCCCCTCGTCCTCGTCCACCACAGCCGCCCCGCGCCCTCCTCCGCGCTCCGCCTCCCCCGAACCGCCCGCTGGCCGCCGCGCTCCGCCTCCTGCTCGACCTCCGCGCCGCCGCCGCTCCCGTTCGTCGCCGTCGCATCCATGGACGCACCGCCCCAGGGCTACCGCACCAACGTCGGTATCTGCCTCGCCGACCCATCCCTCACCAAGGCAAGCGCGCCCCCTCCCTCCCTCCCTCGAGCCCGATCCTGCTCCTCTCCGCCGCGCCTGCGCTGGGTATTGTATTGTATCGTCGGGGTTCGTTTCTGTTAATGGAGCGATTCTCCTTTTTTTCTCCAGATTTTCTCGGCTTCTAGGCTCGACATTCCTAGCGCGTGGCAGATGCCTCAGGTGATTTCGGAGATCAACTGTAGCTATTAACCCTCTAATTTAAACATAGCCTAAGTCATAGAATCCCTAAACGGGAATCCTAAACTACTCATAATCTGCCCACAGGGTGGTATAGATGCAGGGGAAGAACCAAGGGCGGCTGCCTTCAGGGAATTGAGAGAAGAAACCGGTGTCACATCCGCGGAGATCGTGGCTGAGGTCAGTTTGCCTTTCCACCTGATTCCCTCACGTGATTAATTGCGAAATTGCCTAGTGCCGACTATATCATACAGTGATGGATTAGCGCCGGATTAGCGCCTTATGTACAAACCTCCTATACCTTTGTCTTCATAGCCTGATGGTGGTTAAGATAATTTTACCTCTTTGTCAGTGATAGCTGAGTGCATTCATGCATCTGTGTAGGCTCCTAACTGGTTAACATATGATTTTCCGCCGGATGTGAGAGACAAACTGAATGCTAGGTGGGGAACCGATTGGAAAGGCCAAGCTCAAAAATGGTAAGCTTGCTAAATTTCTTCAGCTGAGAATTCTATGAAATAACCTTGTTTCATTTTGTTCCCTTGTCTGGCTGGAACTTCAACATGCAAGAATAATCCTAGATGACAGACATGTATATCTACTTGCTACCAAATAGTAGATGAACGCAACATCCTAATAGTAATTTTTAATATTCTGAACAAGTCCAAGTGAAAGTCTTCCAGGTTTCACATAGCATAGCAGTTAGCAGGCAGAATACTTCACTGTACGGCTCATTATTAGTCTGTCTTGCCATAGAAATACACATTTATATAAGATGCCAATCTCAAGTTACCTCAGATGCCAGTTCATGCTACTGTTCTTAATGGTGGATGCCTGGACTTATGACACTTGGGCATGTTTGGATGCAGCCCTGGCCTGGGAGCGCCGGCTAGGCATGCACATCCGACCCCAGGCGCTCAAAATCGAACACCTGGGAGTGATGCCTGACTCAGGCAGCTTTCCTACGCTGCCATCCAAACAGCCCCTGATTGGACCCTAGGCCGCACCCCGCTGCCCTTCTGGCGTATAAGTGCTTTTCTAGAACATTGGTTAAGGTGTTAGCTAGCCCACGTGAAATATACCATGGTGTACTATGATTATATAGGAGTACTATGATTACTATGAAATATTGTGTGTACCGTGGATGTTTGTAACATACTTGTGACATCTAATTTTCTTAGAACTCATCTCATATTTGAAACAATTCTTCTACACTAAACTTGATGCTTAGATACATTGCAACTTGCACCTATTAATTAACCATGTGCCTGAATGCACTTGTTTTTCTCTCTGCCCATTTTTTACACAAGTGTGCAGTCAAATATATGTGTGCACAAGCGCAACTGCAATAGCATCGAAGTGTTATCCCATGAGCTTTAGACGCAGAAGGCCGGTGGAAAGATTTTTTGTAGATGAATTGGGTAGCAGTGGCAGTACTTGGGCCAAAATTTTAGTTGGTTCAGAACTTTGGGTGCCAAATAACTAGGGATTTTATGTACAAAATTGGTGATTATTCTTATTTTCCGTAAAACTGAGTGATAAATAGCTAGGCTTGGTTAGTTGGTTCCACTTACCCAACCCATTCTATGGGCCATATTTCTGCTGATCCAAGATTTCATTGCTCCATCCCTTTGTAGGATTTTTTGTAATGATTTTTTAATGCAATGTAGTTATTCCGATCTCTTAACAGCAATTGTTGTTCATACTTTTCGATGCTTACTGAAAGTATGGAATCCATAGTGTTCTACTGTTGTGCTATTGAAAGTCAAAACCACCTTTCTTTTATGACTTAAGATCACTATTATGTCCTTGTGTTGGATTGGCACTTTTTTTTTTCTGTTTCTCGGATAAAGTGGTTGTAATTCTGAAATGCTATTGTGTTATACTTGTGTGCTCTGAACCTCAGAGACCATATCAGGGTTTTGATAGCTCTGTATGCTTGCCTACATCGCTTCATCTACATGTATGGTAGTTTTTGAAGAATTTTTCATATGTTCTAAGTAGCACTTTTAAAGCACTTTCCATGTTTCCATCAAATGCTTCTCGCAGTAGATACTAGCCAATTATGTTCACCATTAGTTATAGTCAGTAACTCAGTAACTTGGTATGTTGTGGTTTTCCAAACTCTTGTTTGGGTCTTGTTTGATCTTATATGGGATGGGCATAAAAATATGCTTCAGTTGGATTTCAGTAGAGACATCACAGGCTCTGCTTTCCATGTATCTAGTGCGGCCCACCTTTTCCTGGAGATGATGTAGTGCAGCCCAGTTACCAGTAGAGAGACATCATTCACAAGCTGTGCTTGTCCATGGATCCAGTGCGGCCTGCTTACACTGACAACTATTCAGCTCACAACTGTTGTAATATATTGGGCTCAGGACTAGCAGATAGTGTGACCGAAAGATCACTTTGGGCTCAGGACTAGGAGATAGTGTGACTGAATGATAACTTTGGGCTTAATACTTGGAGACAGCGTAGGTGGGCTGTACTATATCCTCATTCGGCTCACACTGTACTTGGTTCATATTTTATACCTGTCTTATGATGCTCAACAGAACTCAATTTCAAAGTAATTTAACAAGCTTGCCACCGCAGGAGATATTCCGGTATTTAACTTGTGGAAATGTGGTGCAGGTTTTTATTTAGACTTACTGGAAATGATGATGAGATTAACCTTAATGGTGATGGGTCTGAGAAGCCAGAGTTCGGTGAATGGACATGGATGACTCCTCAGGAAGTTATTGAAAAGGTGGGCCATTTTCCTGCCTGCCCTTTTTTCCCCTGATCCCTTTGAAATATCTAATATATTTCCATTTGAACAGGCTGTTGAATTTAAGAGACCTGTATATGAGGAAGCATTGAAACACTTTGCCCCCTACCTAGAGTCAGATCCAACCGCTTCATCATAGATTTGACAGATTTGCGTATATTTCTTTTTTATTTGGAGCTACCCTGTTGTATGTGAACCCCAATAATCTGACACGACGCAATGGAGCCATTGAGATGGAGTTGTGCTAGAATTGGATAGTGTGTGGCCTCTATTTCAGTCAATTATTATGCGAGCATTGGATCCTCATCCTCTTAGCCCCATACAATAAGTCGCGTAAACAGTGACTGCAATTACCCCTACATCTTCCCCGTCGCATAATTGGGTCGCAGTCTAGTTTCTGCCAATTTGTAACATGCTGCGCAGTGTATCTGCCCTGCCAGTAACTGAATGCTTAAGGAGGACAGTGTTGGACTACTGGATTAGTACCATAGCTAGAGATACTGTTGTACAGCAATCTCAAGTTATGTGGCATTTGTTGTGGGAGGACAAGGAAGAGAAATTGTCGGCTTTGGCTTAATGGCTTTGGAGGAATAGGAGATGTGGTTACTGGTTAGGAACTGATTCCTAACCAGGTAGAAGTGGCAAGGAACTGATTCCTGTAACGCACCTGTACAAAAGCACAGCATCAAAAAAGAAGGAAAGAAAGAAAGGTTTGATGTTTCCCGGGTCGCTAGAAGAAAAACAAGCGCTACAAGTGGTGGTCTCGTTGAAAGACAAGTGCAGATGGAGGTGGCTTTGGGTGGGGCAAGACACGCGAGAGGCGCCAATGCATTGGCCGTATCGCCGCCAAGCACATGGGGAGGATGAGAAGCCAATGCGAGGACGGAGCAGGACATGCTACTGTATGGCCGGCCATTCCGTTCGTCAATGAGGTTCGGTTCAGAGGGGGTGATGCAGCTGAGCTGGAGTAGTAGGGCACTGCCAACGTGGATCCACTCACTCAACAAGGAGGACTCGTCATTCGCCATGGCCTGTGTCACTGTGTGCACTGCCGATCGGAGCCTGCAGGGAGCTGTGCTGATCTCTTCTCTCGTCTCCTCACATGGCATGGTGGCAAATGGCATGGGCGCGCTCTCGTGTCGTGTCGTGCATGTTTCCCTCGCCGGTCCTCACATGTTTCTTCTTCTCCCTGTCCCTCCACTGCATTATTCCGCCTGTCTGTCTCCCCTCACTTGTACTACACGTGTACACTAATCGCCTCCCGGTATGATTTTGTTTGTTGAACAAGCACAAGTTGAGCAATGATCGTTAGCGGTGCCGCGTGTCTCATATACATATATCAGAGAGGACCGCAGCAGTATAGTTGCTGACCTGCCAACATATATACGTACAATAGGCACTCCATGTCGTGGACCATAGTCCAGAGTATTCGCTTGTTTGTTTGTATGGCGGGCAAGTTTAAGAAACTAAGATATGGGCTAGGCTGAGGCAGGCAGGCAGAGGCTGTGGTGGATTTCTTGGTGACGTCGATGCGCCACCAGCCCCAGCCCCAGCCCCGGCGTCCCGCGGACCACTCGTGATGTCCCGCCAGTCCCGGCATACCAGGTCGATCACGACCATACCGTGGGGGTGGACAGCAGGTCAGGTCATGTACCCCCAATACAGTACGTGCCATCTTCGTGGTATGTAAACAGATAGTACTACTACACCATACCTCCAGAGCCTGATCTTGTCAGTATTGCTGCAAGCCGAGTGCAGCTGCAGCTGCTCTGCTTCACTCCATCCCATCCCTCTTCCCCTCACAACAGTCAGGTTCCACTGGCTTATACAATGCTAACAACTAACAAGACACTGCCGCTACTGGTAGCTGCTAGCAACTTGTCCAGTGACACCACTTGGGCACACAACTCATCTCATCTCCAAGGTCGCTGTTGTTATTACCTTACCTCTAGGGCCCAGCAGTGTTCAAGAAAAGCAACACTAACACTGAACTGTACATGTGTGTGACTGTGTATGCCATTGCCATGCATGATTCGTTTTCATGCATGCACTTTGGGACATGATGGATGACTATGTTGGCTTGATGCGTCCAGTGGTGGCCTTTTGGAAGGTGCCAAATGCAAGCCTGGACCAACGGCACTGGATTCATTGCTCCCTCGCTCCACCTGCACCTGCACTGACGGACACTCCATGCCCAAGTGAGTGAGGCCATGATATCTATGACATAGTACTGCTGTCCCCTTGCAGGAGCATGAGCACGAGCATGAGCACGGGACAGGAAAAGAGATGCCCATCCATCCATTTGCAAAAAAATTCTCCGGGTACAGTACATACAGTACAGTTCAGGAGGAAACTGAAACTGAGGGAGCATTACAGTCCACTACACATGTCTTGACCGGAAAAGCCAGAGACTTGTTGAGTCTCAAGACTGACTGGAGTAACACAAAGAACTGAAGAAGCAAGAGATGCCTACCACCAATGCAAAACATATCATCATCTATCTACAAAGCAGAGCAGGAGAAGAACTGAAGAAGCACGAGCACATCACATGGACGACGATGCGCTCTTTCTTTTCTACCTACAGCAACAACGAATTCCAGCACTGTGCGAAAACAGGCAACAGGAGACGAGAGAGAGTGAGAGACATGTACTGCTTATAATCCCATGGATGCATGAATGCATCCCTCCCGGTACATGCGATGCGATACCAAGAAGACGACGCTGTCTTCTTCTTCCTCCAGTCCTCTTCACCGGCCGTCGGCCGAGGTGAAGGACTCAGCGAACCCGGCAGGGCGAGCGGGGATGCTGCCCTTGCTGTCCTCGAGGCTCAGGGTGCTGCCACCGTCCGTCATGCTCGCCTCCGCGTCCTGCCAGCTCTTCACCATCTGCAGCAGCGGCAGGTGCAGGTCGATGCCCAGGTAGTCCTCGACCTCGTCCTTCACGGGCTTCCACTTCTCCACCATGGGCACCAGCACGTTCACCGCGTGCCCCATGTCCGGCCGCTGCGACGGCTCCCGGGCCGTGCAGTGCCCCGCGAGCTCCGCGATCACGCCCACACTCTCGAACGTCTCGTCGTCGCTCACGTCCAGGGTCGGGTCGATGGCCGCACGGAGCTGTTCCTCGTCCTTCCGGATCTGGCTGAACCAGTACGCCAGGTGACGGGTCTCCTCGCCCTCGCCCACGCGACTGTCGTCGATGGCCGTCGTCCCTGTTATCAGCTCCAGCAGCACTACCCCGAAGCTGAAGACATCTGCCTTCGTTGAGATTTTCCCTGTCACTGCAGCAGCAGGATCACAATATCATCAGCCATACATCTTGGTTACTTATTACTACGGATTCATAAGAAAACAGTAATCACCTTTTGCATCAAACAGTTGCAATCTTTGGCCATATTAAACAGATGATGACAATATTGGACGGATTTTAAACTAGTCTTGATCACTACACATTCATAAAAAATAGTCTCGTCTCAGGGAGTAGATCGCAACCCAACTGTGAACCGTCACAGCTCACATGACATTTTGAAAGGCTAGTTCATCAAAAGTTCCAAGATAACTATGAAATCAATTTCTATTCCCTGTCGTTACTCTAGTCCATCTAAGGCGGCTACTGAAATAGGGCAAAACATATTGGTCACAAACTCATACTAACTACGTAATATAGCAGGATGACTATTCAAACCTACTATAATTTCCTGATATCTGAGTCACGATAGTAATATGAATTTAATGGTCAAAACAAAAGTGATGAGCAAATTATAGAAATTAATTTTACCTGCATACTCAGGAGCCAAGTACCCAAATGTTCCAGCAAGTCTAGTCGCTACAGAGTAGTTCCCATCCGGCGCATCTTTCATGAGCCCAAAGTCCGCCACCTTTGCCCGGAAGTCATCGCCAAGGAGAATGTTTGCTGACTTGAGATCCCTATGTATGAAGCGGTGATGGCCCAGGTTGTGCAGATATTCCATCCCACGAGCAACATCCAAGGCGATGTTGAGCCGCTTCTTCCACGAGAGAGGCTCCAGCTCAAACTGCTTCCAGTGGAACAGGTGCTTGCTCAGAGCCCCATTGGGCATGTACTCATAAACCAGCAGCCTCTCGTTCCCTTCGATCGCGTATCCCAGTATCGACACCAGATTGCGGTGCCGGATCCTTGGTCAGGACGGCAATCTCGGCCTGGAACTCGTCCAAAGCTTTGTTGCTGACCGCCACAGCCTCCATCCTCTTCACTGCAATCATGGTGCCGTCATGCAGCTCCCCTTTGTAAACGACCCCAAATCCCCCACGCCCAAGCACCTTGTCCTGGGCAAAGTTCCTGGTGGCACCACGGAGGACCTGCACTGCAATCACGAAATTCCTGGCTTCGATCATGTGGACATCGCCAGTCAGGCTACTGCTCCCGCTATGCGTGTTGCCTTGAGACGTGCCGCTGCTGCCGTCGTTGGTGGCCACGACGATCTTGGCCAGGTTATCTGGATCAGAGCTATTACGGGGATGCACGACGACAGAGGCTGCCTGTGGCGGCACTGATGCTCTTCTCTTGCAGAAGAACACGGCGCCCACCGAAATCAGGGCGACCACGCTCACCGCGACTGGAATGGTTGTGCCCAGCAACACAGCTGATGAGGTCTTCTTCCCACTCCCAGGGATTGCTGCATCATTACCCCCAGCCCCAGCAGTTGCGCCAGGCGTAGAATGAGACCCCCGAGGGGAGTTGTTTGGCTGTGCATCTGGTGGCGGCGCTGTCGTGTTGAAGTTGAGATTACCGGTGACATTCACATCCACGGTGGGACTGAATGCGGGCAGCGGCCCGTTCAAGTCATTCATGGACAGGTCCAGCTTCTGAAGCGAGGCGAGCTTGGTGAGGCTATCCGGCACTCGGCCGGTGAGATGGTTCCCGGCGAGCTTGACGTCGGAGAGCGTGGTGACGTTGCCGAGGCTCTGGCTAATGGTGCCGTTGAGTCCGTACCCCGGCAGGTTGAGCATGGTGACTTTGCCCTGGACGCAGGTGACGCCGAGCCAGCCGGTGCAGGGGTCGTTCCCGGACCAGGTCCCGACCAGCCTGGTATTGTACTGCACGTCGGCGAGGAAGTGGAGCAATGCCATGACCTCCGGGGCGCAGGCGTCCCCGGGGTCGGCGGCGCAGAACTCGTTCCCGGAGAAGGTGAAATTGGGTGCCTTGAGCGCCGGGACGGGGCCCAGGAGGTTGTTGTTGTCGAGCTTGAGCTCCCGGAGCGCGGGGAGCGCGGCGAGGCCAGGAGGCAGGAGGCCGAGGAGCTGGTTGTTGTTGAGCCTGACGGTGTAGAGCTCCTTGCAGTCGGCGATGGCGTCGGGGATGGGCCCGGAGAAGTCGTTGCCGTGGAGCCAGAGCTCCTGGAGTCCCGTCATGGTGACCACGACGTCGAGGGTGCCGGACAGCTTGGCCTCCCCGAGCTGGTTGTTGAGCCAGAGCCTCTCGATGCCGGAGCCGTTGAGCGCGGCGGGTACGGGGCCGGAGAGGTTGTTGTAGGAGAGCGTGAGGTTCTGGAGCCCCGTGAGTCGGCCGAGGAAGCCCGGGATCCCGCCGCTCAGGCTGCAGTTGTCGAGGGACAGCACCTGCAGCTGCGGCGCGGAGTCGGCAAGCGCCGGCGGGAGCGCCCACCCGCCGCTGGATTTGTTGAGGCGCTGGTTGTTGCTGAGCGAGATGTCGAGCAGGTCGGCCAGCCCGCCGTCGAAGAAGTCGCCCGGGATGCCGTCGAAGTCGTTGTCGTTGAGGAAGGCGCGCTGGAGCGCGGACATGCCCCGGAACGACGGGAGCGCGCCCGTGAGGCGGTTCCCCTGCAGGCTGAGCCCGCGCAGCGCGGCGAGCGAGGACAGCGACGGCGGGAGGGTGCCGGCCAGGCCGGCGTTCTTGAGGTCGAGGTTGTCGACGCGGCCGGAGCGGTCGCAGGAGACGTGCGGCCACGCCGGGGGGCCGCACGCGTCCCCGTTGTCCGGCCATCCCAGCGCGTCCGGGTTCGTTAGGGATTTTCGGAGGTCATCCAGCGCCGCCTGGTCCGCCGGGTGCGTGGTTCCGTGTACGAGCCCCGCGCCGGCGACGAGAAGGAAGGTGAGGATGGTGACGATGAGGTGGTCGTGGTGGGTGGCGGCGGCGGCGTCCATGGCGGAGGGGACGGGGAGAGCATTGAAGAGGGGGGCGCCGGGAGGAGGCGTGGGGTTGCCGGGAGAGGAGGGGAGAGGAGAGAGGATTCCCTTTCGCTCCACTCCTACCTGTGCCTATTGGAGTCTTGGGGCAAATGGCAGGGAAGGAGAGGGGGCGGCGGCGGATTTGTCAGGGCGAGCCGGGAGGGACGCGCTGCTGCTGTGGCGCCCGCCGCCTGGGTAAAAGAGACGGAATGTCGCCGCTGCTCGCTGACTGCTGACTGCTGTGGTGGGTTTGGATTGGGCGCAAATTTTGGAGTGTTTGTTTGGTCTCCAGAACTCCTCTTGTTATTGCCTCCTCCTGTCAATAAGGCCCCGTTTAGATCCATTTTTTTTTATTTTGGCTCACTGTAGCATTTCGTTTGTATTTGGTAATTAGTGTCTAATTATGGACTAATTAAGTTCAAAAGTTTCGTGTCGCAATTTTTCACCCAACTGTGTAATTAATTTTTTTCGTCTACATTTAGTACTCCATGCATGTGCCGCAAGATTCGATGTAACGGGTACTACGCAAATTTTTTTAATCTAAACAGGCCCTAATAAAAAAAACCAACCTTTGCTACCACAAACCGCCACTTCACAGTCAATTCACAGCTCACAGATCTCGCTATTGACAATGCAATTCTCTACTGCCAACCAAAATGACTTGTTCCATTTGGCACCGATCATCAAAACTTTTTCATTGACGACCAAATGCAATGCATATGTAATGCATCCATCTGTTATCTGCATTTCTAAGGGTATGTGATTAACTACTCGTTAGTACTGCCGTTTGCAACCTACTACTGCTGCTATAGGCTCCTTTCGGCATGATTTATTGCTGCTGCGGCTGATTTGTAGGGCTGATTTGTTGTGAGAGAAAAATAATATTCCATAGCTAAAAATTAGAGCTGATTCTAGCTTATAAACTTAAGCGAACAGAGCCATAGTTACCGTATCATCCAGGCATTTATATTTATTTATTTATTATTTTTTATTAGTTGGCGCCACAAAATCCTTGCCTCCGTCACCTCCGTTGCTATCTATAGACGCGTCGCCGCCCTCGTGCGTTCTTTTGGTACGCGTTTTAATTTAACAGCTGCAGGGAAGCCGAAAGAAGCCGCATGCGGAAACCCCGATCCCCGTTCCCATTCGTCTCCTTGATTACAGGGGTTTGCTTCCAGATCACTACTACTGCTAGGGTTAACCTTTGCAATAAAATTGAGAAATTTCCGAGCAGGACTATCGATCCTGATGATACCCGACGCTAGGGTATTTTTACCTTTTGCATCATCCTGTCCTTGGAGGCCGGACTAGGACCAATATAGTGTTTACTTTGGCGGTGATTATAATAAAATGATAGAGTGAGCAATACGCTAATCAAGGAATAAACCCATGAACTAAAGAATTGATTGGAGCCATGTGTGCCGTAATCCCATGCTGATATGGACGCAGTCTAGTGTCCAAGAGCCAAAATATTATTTTAAAATATTTTTTTAATAATTATCTAAAGACACTATAAAGTAATATTTTTAAATATTTTTTATTCTATAAAATAGCAAGTCTTTTAGGATGGAGGGAGTAGATATATACGCTATTTAGTTATCTTTATGGACGAAGATAAGGCGCGATGGGTCGCGCGATTGCAAAACGCGCGTCCCCGCCGTTCTCATCATCCTACTCGCCTTGCCCTGGCCCTCGTCTTCCTCCTCGGCCCGTCTCTGTCCCTGTCCCCATCTCCGCCCCATTCCCCACCAGCAGCGACCAGCGGCTCCCGCCGCCTCACCGCGCTGCCCACCTCTCGACCCCGTCCACCCCGTCCTCGCCCTTGCCTTCCACCACCGGTGGCCGCACCACCCACCTCCTGCCCCCACCCCTCGACCTCACCCTCCCCTAACCACAAGGCACCCACGAGCTCCGCCGCGATGCCTCCGCGCGCCATCTCGCTCGGCTCCACCGCTGTGTCACGACCGACGCCCCCAAAACTTATGTCTAAGCCCGCCGATGAATAGATCACTAACCCCACCGAAACCCTAGCCGCCGCGGTCTTCTTCTTCATCTCCAGTGGCGCGTGGGTGGGGACGCGGTGGGTCACACGGTCACAACAGAGCACGACCGTCATGCATTAGGTTTTGCGTGTATTTATATGGCGTGTTAATTTATTATTATGGCAAATATCCCTCGTGTCTCATAATCTGCAACCGATGTATTAAATAACTAATTAATAATTATAATTGCTACAGGAGTACAAATCTAGCTTGGCGAGAGCGTGTTCGGCTGTTTTACTTCTGGCTTGTTTTAGCTTATTTTCTTTCACAGAATACTATTGATTCATCCAAAACCAGCCGAAAATCACTGTTCATCGGATCAGCCGAACACGCTGAATTTTTTTAGTGGCGAATTGTTATTTGTGTTTGAAATATTATATTTATATATAAAATTACTACTGAGCGATTTATATTACAGCCAGCATCAATGTTCTAGTAGATTTAGGATCCTTTAAAATGTAGTAAAAATAAACCGATTCCTATATAATTTCTGTAAAACTATGGGGGTTTATATTTAGGATTAGAGCGAGGGGTACGTTCTCTTGATAAGGAGCTAGTATTGGTGGAGTACTACCATGGTTCATGTGTTTTCCAGACCCCGGTTGTGGTGTTTTTCGTGGGTTCATTCATTTGATTGTCCTCCTCCTGTCCTCCATACAATGTGCGTGATGACAACTGACAAGCATGGCTTTTTCTCTACCCGCGCCCTTGGCTTGCTCCACCTCTCGCGGCATCAATTGCTCGCTGCCTTCACTCATGCCATTCTTGGTGAGCTTTGCTGACCGTACCACCACCTAATATAATGGCCTAATTAGCCGGTTAGTGGTTACTCCTAATTGGGTGGTATTGTGAAGGTACGATGCTGTGAATGATGATTTAGCATTTGGATCATCGGTTTGACATCGTGAAATGTGGGGTTTTGTATATTGTGGTGGAAAGCAGGTTTTTTTGTATACGGTGGATTTTACTTTAAAAAACATGTCATGGGTTGTAAAATCTGGGGAGAAAAACTTATGCATATATAAATTATGGGATTTGCTAAATTTCAGGGGCCTGAATTTTAGTTTTTCTTTCAGACGATGGTTATTGCATATATTTTATACTGAAATTGTAGTTTCAGTTCGTTGCAATTTATGTACACACAATTTGCATTTTTTTGTTTCGAGAATAAAAAACCCGTTAGACAAGATCATAAACTTGACAAAATCTGATATGTGTTGGCACAAAGATAATTTAACAATTTACAATTATTTCTATAGTCAGACAAAGACAAAAATTTGATACGTTATGACACAAAGACAAATAACAAATCACAAAAGTGATAATTTATTTGTACTAATTAGTAGTACAAGAGGATTGTCTGAAATCATCTAAAAATTCAGGCATCTGAAATATAGGAAATGTGATAAATTATAGGATTGTCACAATTAAGACTAGAAATTGTTAAAAGACCCTTCATAGCTACGGCTAAAATTAGGAATAGAGGATCAAAGAATAGCTAAGATAACTATTCAAGGAATAACAGGCTATTACTCCCTCCATTTTAAATTATAAGTCATTTTTACTCTTTTTACATCGAATTTACTATGTATCTAGACATACGTTATTTCTAAATACATAGCAAATCCGATGTACATGTACCAAAAAAAGTCAAAGTATAATTTGGAACCGATAGAGTAATTAATTTGTTTTCCTAAGCCAAGTGCTACTAAGATCAGTCCCAGTGGAGTTTTTATGTCACCGTTTTCAAGACTCACATGTGCTAGAAACAGTGTAGAAAAGTTTCACTCTTACGAAACTCATTTCATCATACACAACTTTCATCATCCCACGAAATCCTCACTGAGACTGGCCTAACTACCATGACTCAACTAATAGCTCCGCTAATGAAAAGCTATTACTTGGCTCCACCTTGCTAGCAGCTAATAACCAACATATATACCGACTCCAAATGCACTCTAAATCTTTTGAGAGCATTATTTTAGTTATTACTAAAAGAAAAAGAACGTGGGTCTTAACTTTGCCTTTTTCATTTCAGTTGGGTGTTGAGGCTTTAGTAGTGGTACTATTCTATGGCCGGCTCTGGTAATTATGACCATGCGTGTCTCCTTTTTCACAGGAATGCCTGCTCATTGTTTACTTGACCGCCCACTTTATACTCCCATCCGTGGCAGCACAGTCCCTCGCTTCCCCCCTCAAAAAAAAAAACGTACCACACTTAACATCTTTTATGGTCTTGATTGATGTTATTGCCGTTTCATCTAGTATTAAACAAGAGTAATAACACTTAACAGCTTTCTTTCTTTTTTTGCAAAATTGTTTGATCCATATCTTTATCACTGTTATTTCAAAGTATTTTTTTTGTTATAGCTCTATACACATAACTTACATGTTCTAAAAGTAAATAACTAAACGTAATTGACATCTGTAATTTTAAAGTTTAATTACATGCTGTCTTAAACAATTTGTGTTTTTTTCTAAAAAACAGGAGTAAATGTTTTCCTATTTTTTTGGACCAAAATGTTTCTATCTTGTGACCAGAGTGGGTTGAGGTTTCTATATCTTTTGTAAGACCCTGATCCAAATAGTTGGTAGAAAAACTCTAGCTGATCCAAACAGTTCAGTTTATATTCTAGCTTATGGTTTATTCCGAACTATCTAACCACTAAATAAACTTATAAAAAGGCCCCGCTCGCTGGTATGAAACTTGGCTGAAACTAGCTGGTTGTGTGAGAGAGAAATACTGTAGCGGCTGAAAGATGCATAGTGATTTGTGAGAGGATCCAGCCGGCTGGTGTGAAAAAATCAGACCAGCGAAGGGCGCCAAAGTAGCTGATCTAAACAGTGTCAAGTGGCCCCGTGGCAGCATGGATGATGGGCCACAGCCCAGAGGACAAGGGCCAGGACCATGTGGCTGCATGATTCTGTTCTCCA